CATCTACATCTGCATCTGCATCTACATCTGCATCTGCATCTACATCTGCATCCTTATCCACATCCACATCTACATCTACATGATTCTATATCTATATCTATATGATTCTATATTATCTATATCTATACTGTAGATTTAAACAGTGTTGTTTGATAAACTTTGATTTTCACAATGGAAACAACACAATGTAATGAAATTTAACTCTTAAATATAGGTTGATACCTATGGAAACATTCTAAGCTGTTATCATGGTTTCGAATTCTTAACTAGGTATGAAAATAAGTGAGAATGCAATATTTAAAACAGTTATTTTATGTAATATACAGTGGACTAAGACCTCCTCTTAATTCCCAAAGTCCATACTAAAATAATTATTACGACGATAAACAAAGGGTGCATTTGGCTCTCACCTCTGGGGTCTTTAGATCTTAGGCTTAGATCCAGGACTCAGCATCACATGTGAGTAGAGAACTTTGCTGGTCTTCTTTTCCTTGATATTTCAAGAATTTTTCTCCAGGTTTACTAGATTTCTTCACCCCACAATACTCATGTCTATCTACAAGATGCCATGATACAATGTATATACAGTACAATAAAAGTTGTTGTTTCCATATTAATTTTATTGCAGTGTCAAGATTAGAGAATTATATCCAAACAAGTTTGTACAAGTAAGCAACGATAGTACTATATATCATTCTATTGCATTAGGAGGTTCATTTATGTCACTTCTAATTTCCATTTTTTTTATTTTTTCATTTATTTAAATTCATTTATGTATTTTTTTATGTATTTATTTATGTATATATTTATTTATTTATTTAACTATTTATTTTTTATTTATCTTTATATTTATTCTTTCATTTATTTTTTTGCTCTTTAGGCTGACAACCAAAGATACTTTATTCTCAACACCCTCTTTAATCTACCAGGTAACACAACTCTCACAATTATTTAACCATAAAAAGTGTATATTTAAACATTATTTCTAATTTTTATACACTTGTGTTTTCATAGAAACATACCTATTAGCAGCACTAGTGGATTACTTTGACAACCATCCTGATTATAGAAGGTAATTTATTTTTAACTTTTTTATGACCTTTGTATTGGTCATGACATTTAACCTGTACTGGAATAATCTTCTATGTTAATGTGGAGTTTCAAGTTTTGTTATCAGTGCAGATTTAGAACTAGTAACAAAATTTGATGTTGGTAGAGTGCAAACCATATATATCCGTGAAAAACTTTGTAAGAAATTGCGTAAATTTGCACAAACTAGTAAATTCAGTAGACCTTCCTAGACCATAGACCTACAAACTTTCACTAATTTGTACAATTTTGTAAGTTAACTTTTTCACGGATTTATGGTATGCACTCTAATTAACTATTTAGCAATTAGTCCTTGAGCCCCAATAGGCTATTGACTCATAGGCCATGAGGGAGAAATGCACTAATTGCTTTAGTTAACTACACTGGTCATTCAAATATATATATGCAAACAAGTTTTATATTAAAGTTAAATTCAATGTTTAGGTTTTCAAAGCCTGTACTTTTCGCTCATAGTAGGATATAGGTTATAGCCTAGTAGTACGTGTAGCTCATCCAATCAGAATGCAGCATTGATGATAGACGACTAGTTACAGTAGATGTGAATAATTGTGTTTATTTGTTGAAAGGACTGGCAAAGGTGCTGAAAGTAAAGACCATATTCTTTTGACTTATGAAAGCATCCATGAGGATGTCAGAGCTGCTGTAGACTGGGTCCATATAAAGGTACTATATACCATGATAATTTATGACAGTAAAAAATGTAAACAAGTTGATTTTGACTTGAAATACATAGTGTAGAGCCTTCAAATTTAATTGATACCCTGAAACAACCCCTGGGTGGTTAAAGATCTAGGTATGGCTCTTGGGTTTTCAAGGATACAAACCCTTGTAAAAGCCCTTGGCTAATTCAATATAGGATATGTGGAATTATGGACTTATAAACTCTATGTTCCTATATAGACAAGTGACTTTGCCTTTTGAATCTTTCAGGGAACTCTAAAACAGATTACTGTTGAAAACCTAGATACCTATGTTATCAAAGATGTAAGTACTACTTTCATGAAGTTGATACATTGTGGAATGTTCATAAAATATTAATTTATCAATTGAGCTGATCCTCGCAGTATATGAAGCTACTTATGCACCTGCAAATTGAAAGAAAAAATGTTGAGTCTTGAACGGGACTTTAACCTTTGCAATGGAGATTCCGGTGCCATGCTCTAAACAATGAGCTACCAAATCTCATATGAGATTTCAAGGACACATTAGGCTTTGAACACGTTTCATATGAACTGTATATCACGAATATCAGCATACTTTCAATCTCAGATTCTGTGTTCTATGTTTTGACCCCAATTTGGGACTAATCTCAATGTCATAGCTGTTACAGTTGATCAAAGCATTTCATTAAGAAATATTTAGTACTCACTGTAAATGTGCGAATAACTGTATATTATTCTTTTTAATTGCAGCCCCTTCTACCAAAACTCTTAGACAGGTAAACTAAAATTATACATTTTCACCATTTTTGTTCTAACCTATCAATAAACCTTTAGCAATTATTGATAAACCTTGTTTTCTTTACAGAATGAAACAGTGTAAAAGAAAGTGCTTTATCCTTACAAACAGTGGATATTCCTACACAGATGTATGTATCTATAAAGGTCTTTCCAATTAGCAAAGCACTAATAGGGTAATAATCAAGAAGATTGAGACATAATCAAGTTTTGCTATTATTATAAATTATTATAAACCTCTCACATATAAGATTGGTACTAATTGCATTGGTGGCAGTAGTTTGTTGGCCAATATCAAACAAAACATCCAACAGAAATGCTACCAACACCCTACTGATACTAATAAAATAAATTATTTTGCCATCCATCCATGATTGTGGGGGGGGGGGGGACCAGAACTGAGTGGGTTATTCAGGGGTCAAGGAAGGATTTGGATATTGGATCATTTAATTTTTTTCTCCAAATTTAAAGGGGGGCTGTCTTTCTAGCTCTGCACACATTTCTAAAAGTCGTTTCATGTGTGTTTTTGTTAGTAGTCCCAATTTGCAGCATTATATTTAGCTGATTTCGAAATAACTTCTTCTTTTTTGTAGAAAATAATGGAATTTTTACTAGAGGACAAAGATGGGGTAAGTATTATTTAGGATTTCTAGCATTATGAACATTATCTTAATCACTGTCAGCTACCACCACCATAGTCATCATTATCATCATCATCATCATTAACAGCAACTATCAATTTTCATTTTCTATTTTTTTCTGAATAAGTGATTGTTTGTAATCTCATTCAATATCATTCTTTCTAAGATATTTTGAAGTATTCTTTAATTATCATTTAACTAAAATTGCTTTTTTCAGAGCAATAGTCAACGCCATTGGACTTCATACTTTGACTATGTAGTAGTAGATGCAAGGAAGCCTCTATTCTTTGACAAAGGTTAGAATTCGTAGTCATCTGTGGATTTTTATGCACACATCTTCATAATCTTGGAATTATTTTAGTTGCCATAGGTGATTCTTGGAAATGGTTATTTCTTTTATGATGAGCTTAGAGACTGTTAATAATAATCGATGGGTTTGGAGGCTATGCGATTCTGGGTCACCCCCTTCAGAATTATAGAAAGTAAATGATTCCCATTTTATTGATAACCTACTCCCTTCCCCCCCCAAAAAAAATTACTGAGGACTGAAAAAATTAGTAGGGCCATAAGCCTCCCACCCTATAAATTAATGTCCTTTTTTGTTATTTTAGGGACAGCTTTAAGACAAGTTGATGCGGTAAGAAGTCATTGACATATTAACCATACATGTATTATAAAAATCATTCAATATGTTATAAAAGAATAGATTCTATATTAATATATGGGGAATCAAGGGTGATGGTGTAGTGGGTTCAGTTATTGTGCTCAGCATTGCACGTGGACAGAGTTTGTTTGTTTGTTTTTCTACAGGTTCTCCATTATTTTTCCCGCTAAAAAACCCTACACACTAAATTCTAATTCTGTCAGTGAATAAGTATGCCCTGACTTTGGTCAGCCTAGAGGTTGCTCCAGTGTTCAATAAAAATTAATGTTTAAAATATACCTGCAGTTGTTGTTGTGATGCCGGTGGCCTTTCTGTAAATTGTGGAATTATTTCTTTTATCAGGAAACTGGTACCCTCAGTATTGGCCGCTATTCTGGTGCTCTCAAACAAGGCCACATTTATTCAGGAGGTAAGATTCAATCATATCTTGATAATGTAACCTGTATGTCACAGGTATGTAACCCTTTTGGAAAAGAGTGGGTGGAATGTGTTACTAATGAGCCACATCATTATGGTGGGAGCAATCCTTGGGCCTAACATCATGCGGTTAGAGTTGTTTGTTGGTTCTTTCCTGTACTTCAGGGATGTTGTTCTCCAGGTTTTTCTCATATTCCTCTCAGACTCTGCAAAAATTTAAAGGATGACAGGTATTTTATGTCTTCACATGAACAACCAATTTATTTATTTTATTTTAATTCAGGATCAAGTGATGTGTTCTGTCAACTTGTAGGAGCACAGGGAAAGGTATAAAACTAGGCCAATTGTAGGCCTAAAAAAAGTCTTGTTGCCATTATTCAATGTTGCAGTCCCTGTATTCTTCATGGTATCTAAAAATCTGTCTTCATTAAATATAGGATGTGCTATACATTGGTGATCATATATTTGGTGATATCCTAAAGTCTAAGAAACAACAAGGCTGGAGGTAATGTTTGATTTTAAAGTTCAAGCGACAAAAGTGTTTACATAGACTCAATATCCTCCATATCTAATTGAATGCTCCTTTTGACTCTTAGCAATATATAACATTGATATCGTCTTCATAATATTTTTTTTTAGGACATACCTGGTTATTCCTGAGCTTACACAAGAACTTGAAGTCTGGCAGTCAAGACAAGGTCATTATTTTCTCATTATAGAAAAAATCACAAATAAATTAGATGTAAGCTGAGTGCACATTGATAACCTTTTGCTCATTGTGATAATTTTCTTTTTTTTTTTTTTTTTTTTTTTTTTTTTCTCTAGATGTGTTTTGTAACTTGCGTGACCTGGACATAACTTTGGGTGAAACATACAAGTAAGTCAATAAGTTCTAAATAAAGACCCTGGCCCTGCCCTGCCAATGAGAAGACAGATATCTCTCTAAAAAAGCATACTCTAGTAGTGTGCTATACTCGATGCTGTTTCAGGGGATATTTTGATAAATTTGAAGCTTTTTCCCTAATGTATGGGGTTTTTTTTCTTGCGACAGACATCTTGATTCAACTACAACAGAACAGCCAGACATTAGTGAGATTAAACGAAAAATTAAGGTATGCATGTCAGATACATTCCAAGTTTTTACCATCCTTATGTGTAATTCATCCATGAGCGTCTTCAAGCTTCCACAACATGCCATGAAGTTTGCTCAAAAAAATGCTTCAAGATCCTAGATACAGCCAGTTCTAAGTATCAAGTTAAGCTCAAAGAAGACTTGCACATAAAATGGAAAATCCTAACTTTAACTTAAGCTTACACATTTTCATGCATGTAAGATCCATATATAATCAACCGCACTGTCGCTTGTAAAGTATTACTGAAGATGACGTTCATTCCTTAAAATGCATTTGCTGCGACTTAGACCATCCTTAAAAATTCATAAACAAATATCTATTTTAGATGGTGTCTTTATCTTGTAAATCGTGAAAAAAAGAAATTCTAAAATATTTATATATTTTGTGTTAATTTTTGAATAGGAAGCTACTCAAACTATGGAAAAGTGTTATGGATGCATGGGAAGTCTTTTGAGAAGCGGTAAGTGCGCCAAACGCGCTAAACTTGATAAATGTCAAAATTGTCTTCAAAATTATGTAACGCGGTATACCTGTGTGTTACCCGGCATTCCTCGCGGCCTCGTAAACAGTGTCTGCCATTTTGAAGAAGAATCGATCCTTTACGCAAAAACGTATTGAAGTGATTTTTTTAAATCGTAAAAAATCTAAAATCAAAACAATTACATCGACATACCTTAAATAGATAGCAATTCTAGCATTAGCGATATGTTTGGGGTGTCTTTGAGACGAAATCTTTGTTCTGGAAAGCCAGTTTTCTCTCTTACCTGGTCGAGCTCCACGAGTTCGCGTACAACTTCTTCGTATTCTTCAACACCTGAGCTACAGAAATACCTCAAAAAACTGAAACTAGGACGATTTGAGTGCTTCGAGAAGAGAATCCAGAAAGAACCGTGTGTAGAGATCCTTAGGAATCTGCATGAAGAGTTGGATGTTGTACATGTACGAAAGAGGCAGCCGCATGTGTTGTACTTGAGAACGGAGCTACTTCTACAGCGAATTAGCTTTCTAAAACCTATTGGAATAACATCAAGACAAAAGAGAAAAATAATCGAACGTAATCCTCCAGCTTTGGTCTTTGATTTTGATCCCAATAGAGCTGACGGCAGTAGAGTTGGCTATGTGAGGGGGGTTGTGAGAAACAGGACAGACAGACAAGAAGTCTTGACCCATATCCTTCATCCTTGTTCATCGTTGATTGTAATGAGATCATTTGATCTGAGAAATCGTGTGGAGTTTATTCAAGAACAGCTCGGCATGGCTCAATCTACTCTTCTACAGTTTCTCCTCAACATGCCTTGTTTCCTTCTACATAACAAGTCAGCCATGCTGGAGGACTTCCATTTCATTCACAAGCATGTCTTGCCTCAAGGCTTTGATCTTGATCACCATACTGCTGAATTATACCCTCTAGTGTATGCACCAAGTGATAACATACACCCATCGATATTCACTACAGCAGCCAATGAGAACACAGCAAGTGCTTTACCTGTTTTGAAACTAAGTGACGTTCTTGATTATTCTTACAAAGAAAATCACGGAAAGGGAGAACCGGAGGATTTAGTAGAGTTTTTGACTCAGGCAGAGCTACGAGAGCTTAGACCAAGATACAACAAAGTGATGTGAAAATTAGAAGTTGCTTTTCCTTGTGAAATTAGATAATATTTACACCATGAAATAAACATAAGCTTTGATAATATTTCCATTGATTTAATTAGTATGTTAGTAATGATAATGAACTTGATATACAAGTAATGCTAATATTAGTATTGTATATGCATTCAGTTTTTCACTGTACCCCTCTTCACTCTGTTGAGAATCTCTGCTTGCCACTGGACTATCGTCAATTTTGAAGAGATATCCAAGGATTTTTGCATTATAGAAATACCCTCCAGAATAAATAGCAGCAATCTTGGAAATATGTTCCCTTAAACAACCCCACAATGCACTGTAGTGCCAACTTAACCCAGTTTTTTCCTCAACCTTGTAATACAATTTTCTGCAATACTAAAACTAAGGAGGTGAGACGTGCACATCAGACACCAGTAGGGGACTTGAGATTCGCAAGTTATACAACAGCAACATCAACCAGAAGTTTTAATAACAAAGTCTGTCTTTTCTGTGGATGACTTTCATTTACTGATGTCTCGAATGAAAAATGAAAAATCCAAAAAAACAAAATCCAAAAGAGAAATCATTAACACTTTTGGTTGATCTAAAGTCCCTAGTCATTACTCACTGTCATGCCAAAATAATTATGTTACTTTTATAACGTATTTCCAGGTTCAAGACAAACATTCTTTGCCAGCCAGGTAATGCGGTATGCAGATTTGTATGCATCGTCCTGCGTCAACCTTCTTCACTATCCATTCAGTTATCTGTTCAGAGCTCCAGCACAATTGGTGAGTTTATTTTCCTAGGGTGCTTTTAGGAAGAACATGAGACTTGGATGTAAATAATTTTTATAACCTGTATGTTTATTTTTGTTTACAGATGCCCCACGAGTCTACAGTAGAGCACACAGGAGAACTATTCCAGCCCACACCAAGCAGTGCAATGGCACCAAGAGGTTTCTCATTCTCAGACGACAGCCCCATGACAAGTAAAGGTTCAAACTCTTCCCTTTCAAGTAACAATTCAGTATTTGGGAAGACTTATAACCCTTCGCAAGTCAGTTACTCACTTGGCAATGATTCTGATGAAGAGCTAGAAGAGGAAAGAAGTGATTCCCCAAGTCCAAAATAAATCTTGACCACACTCATGAAAAGTATAGATCTCTTGAACTTTGGTGTAATGTTTTTCCATTTCCATTTCTTGTCATTCCAAAGAGTATCATTTCTTTAATTAACGGTTGAGCAAAAGACACATTTTAAAAAATTATATACGAAATATGATTAATTACAAGAAATTCAAAAGTGTAACACCCATATTCATCTATATACATATATATAAATATGACCACATGTCAGTCTTGAGAGTATCATTATTTCATTGCTTAATGGTTGCACATAAGATTACGCATGAATATGGATACAACTCAAGCAAAGAATCTTGTTCTGAATGAAATGACACGGTCTGAAATGGGAAAATATTCTGCCCAAAGGAAATCCAAAGTTGACCCAGCTTTGATTTCATCTAACTTGAACATCATTAGGATATTTTATGTCTTTGGATAAATCTATTAATAATTTTTAATACTCTATCAAGGTTGACATTTAACTGTCGAACCCAGGGCCCTGTCATGATGTGCAATAGAATTGAAGTGACATGGTGCATGGATTTTGGGTGTGAACCTGCGGTACAGCGGTTTCCATGTGAGCAAATCCGGAAGTGTCTGCTTTTGTAACAAGTGTCTATAAAGCCTGTCGGGTTTTTGGTCATTAATTGTTTTGACGCCGGCGCCAATTCTACTGACCAGAAGAAAGGAAGGCTCTAGGCAAAATATCGGTACCTAGAGTAAAACGATCCTCTATTTCATGTATTTTCACATGTAGACCGCTGAAAAACAAACGCAACTTGCTAAACTATGCTACCTTTATTCGTATTTCCTTTCATAGATTGATTCAAAAAAATCAATTAAAGTAAGAAAGAAAAAGAAACTATAAGTTTTCCTCGTAATTCTTGTTAAGGTTATCTACTCATGTTGTCTAACTCGAAGACAAAATCCAAAAAAAACAATATTAAAAAAAGGTACTACTTGGAATGGAATGGAAAATAATTGGGAAGGCGAGTCGTTTCTGTTAATTCTTTTAAAGCTTTTAACTGATTGAACTAACAATTATCTTACAGTACGTTATCATACCATATCGTTATATTTTGTCGAATTTTATTCTTTGTAGTATTAGTTAAAATTTACGAAAAATCGTATCGTGTAAATTGGCCGTTATTGGACTAACGAAGAAAATTGTCATAATAAGTGCAGAACTATTTTTTCCGGCTCTAATCCATAAAGCGGTCAAACGTTATTCATAGAAGCTAACCTCTTCGTGCTAATATAACATACGATGACATCTCGCTACTATTGCAGGTGTTATTTTTTAATATATAAGTTACCTATATTACTTGCATAAATTTTAAAAATAATTCAAAAGTAAACGGGGCCGGATCACGTGACTAGCGATCACTCCGGTGTCATATTTTTGTAATTCGTAAATGATATGAGATGCACTTGGAATAAAATGCATTAGTAAACATTCGTTATCTATAGAACTCTTTATGTTGTTATGTTACTGGGCCAAAGCAAATAGAACTTAAAGAAAACAATTTGGATTTCCTCTTGAGAGGGATAACCTTTCGATTTTCATTCGAGTGGTCGTTAAAAATGCCAAACTATATCCACCATGAAGTGCAATTAGAGATTAGCCAGCGTAGCGGCTCTCGGGGGACTCAGCCGAGAGCCGCTACGCTGGCTAATTAGAGATAAACATTGCCAACGCTTGCTTCAGCAAAAACGAAAAACTGACATTCTTTCCGTATTATTTCTTCTTTTTCTAAAGACTAATAATGACTCGAATGCGAGTTATCACCTTGAGCATTACTAAACTCGGGTCGTACAATGAGTAGTACAACAACCATTCTAATTTCCTCGGCGTTGGGGCTATTTAGCACAATGACGTCATAACCTATCAAATACCACCGATACTTTGAGTTGATTGAAGTCATATACAACAAGAACTTTGACAGAATGTTTTCTACTATTGAATAACATAAAAAATTAGTAAAAAGGTTGGACGAAGCAAAAAGGAAGTTGGCTGACAGAAGACCATTGCTTTGTTGACTTGGTATGGGAATGTTTATTCCAATTTTCACATACACTTGGACAATTTTCAGATCGGATTCCTAAAATTACTCGCACAGAAACGACATAGACTTGTCAAACCCTTTCCAAATAAAATAGCTAATGAGAATTGAAGTTTTTAATAAGATTTTTGTCGAAAGCCGCTTCGAAAAATTTCAATTAACATGTTTGGCGGAATGACAAGCGGTTATACGGATTCTTGCTTCCAAGGTTTGCAATTTCTTTTGGCGCAACCAATTTATATTTTAGACCCGAGAATTGGAAAAGGAAGTTGTATGTGGTATAATGACAGGCTAGTTATCAAAATAAGACCCTGCCATTTACAAAAGGAAGTACTGTTTGATTTTCTGAAACTTTTGTGTAACTAATATCGGGATTGCATCTGTTCTGAACAAGCACATCTTTTGCATTGGAAATATTCGGCGCTTTTGAAACCCTATGATAAACGCCAATAAAAAGATTGTACTAAGTCATTTCTTCCTATCAAACATTTAAGTTAAGAACTGAGTTATACACAGGCGGGCTTAATGTGCACTTGGGCCGCTGTTCTCGATACACGACAATGAATGGTACCAAATGTTGGCTGAACTTCAAGCAGAGAAATTCCAACTTCAGTGCAGTTCTTATCTTTGTTACCACATTTTTAGGTGAGTTTAGGTTCATTTTCTACTCTATTTATGAGTAAAAATAAGATTTCTTAATTAACTTTCCTAGACAACTCACTCGTGTATAGGGTACAATCTAAGATTGAGCCTGTTTTATACTCTTTTCGCGTCTGGGGGAAATTTTTTTTACGCAAACTGAATTTCACAACCACTATATCAACCAGATTGATAGTTTTAAACATATTTCGATGAAGAAAAATTATTGATTTTTTCTAAATCAAACCCGAAAACGCTATAATGTTTGCAGCATGATTCTTAAACTCGACTGTCCATGATTCAAAATTATTAAAATCAAATCCCGTAATCCCCACCTCACATGGGCCGAACATAAACCATTGCTTACAGGAGATAAAAGCATCGATTATGATACCGGGCGCGGGCAGCAAAATTGATATACATTTCGCTCGGTTTACTCCTAAACCGTAAAAGTTTGTTTGCTGATATTCTTAAAAAATAGAGAACAATAGATTCAGGTGCCCTAGCGCAATATAAAAATATCCAATTTCATGGGGTAAAATTAAAGAATTGTGAAGGTCATAAATCCAGCATTGTTTCAAAATACAAATATGCTCAGTGAAAATATATCCACCAGTTTTTGCCAGCTTTTTTTTATTTTTTTCGCGGAGACCTATTTCTAAGTAATCTAGTCTGATTATCATGGGGCAAACTAATAACATTACCTATATATATTGCGATGTCAAATTATCAAACTAAGTAATTTGATTTACCCGGAAACAACGTATATATATATATATATATATATATATTTNTTTTTTGTCCTTCAAAATGATAAAAGTGTACCAGAAAAAATTTAATTGCTTAGCAAATGTCTGGGAAAAAAGTCGTGCAAGTGGAAATATGAATAGATAAACGAGATTAATCGTCAAAATTAGAATAGATCAATCAAAAGATTCTAACCAAAGTGCGTTTATTTAAGCAGATGGGCTAAAGCCGCCCTTTCAGTGAAAAAGTGGTAACTTTAACTAGAGCCGGAGATTTTATTTTTTAGGTTGGAGGCTGACCAAACATTTCTCAAAAACAGGCGAATGGAAAATCTTTTAGATGATTATTCTTAACTTTTAAAGCGGCTTTTGCTTTTGTTTGTTTGGGAGGGAAACTTCAAAGCAAAGCGTTCATCGTTGACTGAAAAATATACCTCCACTGAAACACTCTATTCTGATTGGATGACGTTCCTTTTTCGTCGTGCAATTTGATTGGTTTGTGGTGTATGGAAGCCATTCAACAGTCACGGAAGCTTGCGCCGGTTTCCACCGATTTACAGTAAAAACATCTATCGCAAAATCTTAATCGAAATTAAATTATACTAGTATGTTTGTATTGGTGTTGTGCATGGTTGATCAGAACGTGAAAATTAGAAAAAAGCATTTTGTCAATGTCATCACTAAAAAGCGTCAAATTATATTAGAGATTAATGGAATTACATAGGAAAACCATTTAACTGCATTTGCTAAGAGCTGATTGGTTCAGAGCTTGTTTTAATCAAACATCAGGCAGAGTTCGCTTTGGAATTTGGGAGAAAGACAAGTAACATTTTGAATCGGAACTCATGGTTTTTAACGTTGCGAAGATGAAAAACAGGAACAATGCAATGTTTTTCTTTTCTTTTCTTTTTCTTTTTTTTTTTTTTTTTTCTTTTTTTTTCATTACAAGAGATTTCATAATTAAAGCAGAAAATTTTGGTTGTTTTACGCAACAGCATGGCTGCCATAGCCAACAGCCTTGAAATGGATCATTCAAATGGTTTCTGTGTTCAAGCAATGTGATTGGCCAGTGGGCGGTTTTTTGATTTGTTATTGGCTGAAAATTAGTATAGAAAAGCCACTTCAAATTAAGTCGCAATACCTAAAATTTCCTTCATGTGCAAAATAGATCCTAAAACGAAAATTGGAGATTATACTCCATCAATATTTTCAATCATCATTAGATTTTTAATAGCTTTAACAGTGATAAATAGTTGACCACCTAGTTTTAATTTAATTATAATCAACAATCTAAGCTAGAATTATTTTCAAAATCCACCGGTGCATATGTTCGTGGCAGGAGTGGCATGCATTGATAAGAGTGGGCGGTACAGCAAAGAGGGAACGTAGACATTGTTAGACATCCGAGTCTGCTTCCCGTATACTCCCAAGTGCTAAGCAAACACCACTGTCTTCGCACAACTAAATCTGACAAACTAAGACATTAAGGCTGTCTATCTCATGATCAGCTTAAAAACTCTTCATTCTCTTTTCACCTTACAGTATTTTTTTTTTTATCGGAAGGAAAAATTAATGTAAAAATGCAGAGGTAATGTAAATAATAAAAAGTAGTTTTGGGGAAAACTATGCAAACACATCAAATGGTCAGAGGAAACAGCACTGAACTTGGCCCAAGAAATCACAGAATTTGTTTAATTTAATTTAATTTAATTTAATTAATTAATTTATTTATTGTTTATATAATTATTTTTATTTTTATTTATCAGCTTTTAGTCATTTTGTTAAATGACTGCAAAGCATGCCGGGTGACAATGACGCTTGACACCAAAACGAGGCAAGAAATGACGATGTGAAATTCGCTCAATATGGCGGCCATTTTTAATATAATAGTGCCTCAAATAAAACCTGAAGACGGGAAAAAAAATTATAAAGACGTTTCTCGGTATTTAATTATGCTATCCTGAAGAGAATTAACGTAACTGAGAAAAAATCTACGATATACTAGAATTCCAAGCATCAGTGAAGGAGGTCCTAGGCATCCTCAATGTCTTCAACTAATCAAAATTTAATATAATTAAAATTTAACATAGTTCGATAGCCATTGATGTCAGTGAGTAGTTCTACAAGACATATATCAGACTTTGGTTTCTAGGCTCAATTGCTTCTTACCTGCGTGAAATAAAAGTAGTTGGCCTAGTGTTGTACTTSAATGGTGAATTCAATCAATCTGAGCCTCCCATGTTGAACGACAGACCTTTTAATTTCAAGCAGTCACTGTCAAACGAAGACTTGAACCGCTGGATTTACTGCGGAGTCGACTTAGACACGATGTTGTAAGTTGTGAAAATTCTTGTGATCCCGACTCACATGGTGAAAGTGATAAAAGWTCACACATCATGATTCACGTTACGAAAGCCTATTGTTTATAGGTAATCCTAATCAGTATTGATAGTTTTCAATCATTCCCAAGAGAATTAAACAACAAAAGACACGGCGGCCATGTTGGAGGATATAACAAAAGAATTCATTGACAAATCTTTTTTTTAGTTCCTCCAACATGGCCGCCGTGAAAACCATCAATACATTTTTGTTTCAAGCAAGACGCCTTTTAGGCGTTCACTGGGTTGCCTGTATAATGTACTAGTGCAGCTGAAGAAGTTTGCAATGTTAGCCAAAAGATAATCACGGGAATGTTTCACGGAAAAGAATGTTTTAAAAGAACGTTTTACTCGTCTAAGAAGATCTTCTCCCTTAAAGTGCTCTCTACATAATATTATAATAATTGCAGAAGGCTACATTGCGTTATTATGCATGTCACACTATTTTTTTGAATTTGATCTTGCGCCATGACGCAACAAGTTCAAATATCTCAATGTTCTCAGTCAGAATCACCAATTAATTTTCTTATTTTCTTTACTATCCTTTGTTATTATGTTATTTACTCAGGTAGCTGTTTATTTTCCTTGTCAGAAAATGCAGAAATTGCGCAATAGTACCCAGAAGTCTTCACGGCACTACCCAAGAGTCCTTTGCGGGCATATGATATAAAGATCCAAGTGCAGTAAATGTTCTTGTCAGCAAATTTTACCTGGAAAGATAGGAAAGCATAGCTTTACTTTTCGCGGATCGATATTGCTTATACGACTGATAACGTCTGATCGAACTTTTATGAACAACCGACTAGGAGTAAATCTTTTTTTCGATAAAAAGATTGCATTATTGTTGAAGATTTGAGTCTAATAAAAAATGTAAAAAAAAATTCTTATGTGGATAAGATGGGATTCGAACCCACCAAAAGAAATTCAAAAAATCGATTCTACTTTGCCATACCCCCGAGACATCCGCAGAGCTGAGGCGACGTATGGACTTCGGACCTGACGGCGATTAAATCCTTCTGCCCTTGGGTGTACGAATTACGCAAGAAAATGTTCTAGCCAAAGCATCAGGGGAGAGACCAGCCGGCCCCCAGACCATATCGGCTAATCCCTTGCATCTCTGCCACGCACGGAATCAATCGGCCTATTGTTATGCTGATTCACCTGGAACCGTGGCTCAGTGGATAAATCGTTGTCGTTCAGATACTGAGTCAAGGTCGTCTGGGGAGGGTTAGCACTTGGATGGGTGACCTAAACATTCTACCCATACTCACGTTTTTGCACCTTTTTTCCGTTTTTCTTTTTTGATTCTTAAAATAATAGAATGTAAAATAGTGAAACTTTTTTTATTTTTGAGTAACCTATTCCTATTTACCCAAATCCATCAATGTGAAATCTAGCAGATGAAACCCTGGGGAACAAAAGAAACTTCCTAAATGACCGGCACCCGGACCGGCAGCCGGTCAAAGAATTTCAAAACACTAAATGGTCGGCAGTTCAATTTTCAAAAATCCAGCTTATTCCATACGATAACACAAACCAAACTTAAAACTCGAACGAACCTTTTTATGCTTTCTTTAATCGTTTATAGCACTAGCATTATTAAATCTCAAGTAGAAATCTGGCAAGTAAAAATAATTTGAAAACAAGATGAAGGAGATCTACTACGGGGAATTGGAGGTCGCCAACTATATTAATTAAACATTGAATTGTTCACTCACGGGAAGTTTTAAAGCCTTATTTTCCTAGTTTAAGTTAGAGCAATTAATATTAAGAGTGACTGTCTGTAACGATCAAGCAAAATTCAAAATCCGTGGCAAACTTCGAAAAATCGATTTCGCTCATACTTTCAAGTTAGTTAGGGTAATGTATCCTAAGAAT